TAGGCGCCACCGAGCCGTCTGGTCGCCGAGACCGCCTAGGAGCTCCTAGGCCCACTTAGCCGCCGCCTATCCAGCATGCTAATTTTTTCATCTAATTCATTCAAATCAAAGGCGAGCGGATAGCGCCTAGCGCCTAAGCCGATTTTAAGTAATGTGATCAAAAGTCAATATTACATAAAAATACTACTTTTTTGGTTTTGAAACTTAATCACCACATTTTTCTTAGGCAATTAAAGAAAATAGCTTGCTATATCACGACTTTTTCATAAATTGCAAAAACATCACGACTTTTGCACCTTGGCGCAGAATACCATGACCTTTTTTTTTTTTTCAAAACATCACACCGAAATCAGAAACCGACCATCGATGCTTACGTGTCAGACCAACCTGAAATAAAAATCTGATGTGTATATATTTGTCCCACGTGTTGAATGATATAGAAAACAAGTATAAATAGCTCAATTTCTTTTCCAATTCTCTTATCTCCTTCCCCCAAGTTATTCCTACTTAACCTTAATTTTCTCTCTCCCTCAATTCTCTCAAGTCTCGACATCCTGCCACGCAGCCAGCGTAGTCGCTGGATGACAGCCGCACCAGGATCACGTTGTACCTGTTGACCAAGCTCACTAGTAGAAGTCCTCCGCCATGCCGTCGGGGGCATCGTTTGTTAGTGAACTCCACTAGGCTGACCGGCGAGGCGCCCCTGCCTATTCATAGAATTTCACCGGGGAAGTCCGCAATCGTGGAGTTGCCACTCTCGATGGCGTCGAATGAGCAGTCGGTCCGAGACTAGAAGCAGCCCGACCAGCCCGTCGGTGTGGGGAGATGGATGAAGCCGCTGGGACGGACTTCCTGCTCCTCCTTGCCTAACCTTATTTCACTACTGGGGCCGTCCCCATATTCCTCGTGCTCGCTGAAGTGGGCGTCCCATTTTGGCGAGCTCGACGACAAGATCTCGAGGAGCAACGAGCGGGCTAATTTTTTTCGGGTCGGGCTTGCAATCCTTGTGGGTCCGACAATTTTTTTGTATATTTATTTTCTTAAAATTCAAATTTAGAAATATAATTGTTTATATTTTCATTGTGGTTGAGTAGTTATTAATTATATTTTCTTATTACGTAGTTGGTAACTAAAAGTAATATTTTTCTTAATAAGTAGTTGTTAATTGTATTTTATGTTAATTAGAAATATATTATATTTTTTAATTATATACAAAACTATTTTATTTTATTCGTTCGTTGGGTTTGGGTACAAGTTTTAGTAAACAATAATAATAATAAAAACAAGGACTAATATGTAAATGAAAAAATAAAATAAGCTATACTAAAGTCGTTGTTTTCACAAGCAGCGACTTTCCAAAGGTTGTGCTTTTTGCGTGTATCCCCCCTAACCTGCGACTGCGAGTGCGACCAAAGGGAAAAATTTGCTCTGCCGCATCTCAACGAAATGAAATAAGCAAAAGAAAAGGAAAAACCCTACACGCCCCCATCTCGTTCTCGTTCAACTGTGACAAGGTAGTAATCGAATCTCCTTTTTCTGTTTGTTAATTGAAAATGCTTTGATTACTCGTCCTGATTTTGGCTTTTTTTTCTCTTAGTTCTTGATTGTTATCGCTAGTTTGATATAGTTCTTAATGAATTGCCATCTGGGCTGCCGAAAAACCTAAATCTTTTTTTCGATATGGAATTGATTTCATAGAATCCCTATGTAAGCTTTCCCCTTTTGCCAGTAAGCCAATATTCGAAAATGGGGTTTTATACCCAAATGTTGTAATGCAAGCTTTGAATTGATCCACTTGACCCATGTTCCAAAACTCTATCTGCAGTGGTTTGACAAGTTCGAAAATCCGAAATGTTGAGAGGCCGGAAAGCTGGCGGTCGTGGGGAGACCACGGCGGCACACTACGCTTTTGGATTTGGGCCTCTAGAGGATGACATCATCATAAAGCACCGGCTTTTGACCCGAACAACTACAACAAGAGGAGAGCCACCATTGAAGAAGCTTCAGAAAAAGTTCACGGCCTTTGCGGCTGAAGTTGAGAAAGAAGCCGATAACTATGGGGAGTGCGAAAGGCTTGCAAAGGCCTTCTTGCAGGAGCTGAACACTTTCGAGATCCCACTGCTCAAGAGTCGGGCGGTGATTGATGCTAACGTTAGGGAGAAGGAGAATTTTAACGAGCTGAAAGAGGAGATCAATCGGCAGATTTTGCAGGCGCAAGGTGACATAGAGGATCTGAAGAAGCAGCTGGAGGAGAGCAAGATCGAGAGGCAGCATAAAGAGGAGTGTGAGGCCATTAGGAAGATGATTGCTGTGCAGCCACCGAGGTCCGAAACGCAGAAGATCATAAACGAGCTTGAGAGGGAGATTGCCATGCTGGAGGCAGAAAATACAGCCAGCTCGAGGACACTCGACCTCCGCAAAAAGCAATTTGCTCTTTTGTTGCATGTGGTACGTTTGTGTTTCATCCAAAATGTTGTGCATTACATCGTTTGTGTTCTGTTTTTTGTTTTGGTATATCATAGGATCTTGTCTGGGATTCATGTAGTTCTCTGGACTTTGGGATTGAATGTTCCCATTACGTATTGTTATTAATAAGCAATTTGCTGTTAAAACATATGCTCTTGTGATTCAAAAGGGTTCTTCTTTAAAATTCATTATACGTAAATTATGATAGATCAGGGTGTTTCTGTTCATAAGCGGCCATGAAGTATGGAATTGGAAGATAAAGAGTAATCGTAACACTTATAGGATTAGATTGCATGTTGTGTTAGTCTTCAAGAAAATCAGTTGAATGATACCTAAAAATTTGAAGTAAAAAATAAAAGTAAAAGTACCCTTTTGCTTGCCCAGCCATTCTGGTTTTATTTTTGCTTATCTTAATACAGGTGGATGAACTACAAAACACCATTGAGGAAGAACAGCAGAGTTTGATGGAGGAGATGAGGACAGCAATTGACGAGGAAAAGACCGGTTTAGAGGATGCTAGTGGGGCCCCTGATGCTATGGCTGTTGATTAGATTGGCATGCTGCATCATTGTCAGATTACAAGAAGAAAAATGTGTTTTGTTTGATTATTATTATCATCTGGCTTGTAAAAGTTGAGTTAAACGTTAGTATTTTGTACTTCTGTAGTGCATTTTAGGTACCAAGCCTTCAAGACTCTGCAATTTAACAGGATGCAGCACTGTAATAATATATAATTTTGCGGGACAATTTATAGTGTATGTATTGTAGATGCTTAATTTTTACTATATAGACATAGATAAAATTCGAAAGAGGGCTATTTTTTCTCTCTTAAAATTCTCCTCCGCACCAGCAAAAAAAGTCTCAAACCCAGCAGCCCCCTCCATTCCGGCCGGTGATCCTCTGCGGCCAACAAGCCGGCGTGGGCCGAGCCGCGGCTGGAGCCCTATTTTCCGCCTTGCCCGGAGATCTGCGGGAGTCAAGGCCGCCCTTGGTTCTCGCCGCCCATACGTTATCCCGGTCTCCGGGAGGGGTCGCGGGTCGTCTTGTCCGGTTGTGAGATGAGGGAGTCGCCGCTCTGCTGGGTTTCAGTTAGTGTGCCTATTTTTTGCTTCTCGGAGGGTGGCTGCTCATCCAAGCCGCACGACAGCGAGCAGCCTCATGCAGTGTTATTAATGGCGGATGACGGTACAAGGCGTTTTGCCAAAATTTCGCCATGGCGGCCACTGTGGTGGTCTATGTCGCTGTCATGACCGCCATCATTCACAAATTTTGCATGGCGGATTGTCAAAAATCCGCCCCGCCATGGCCGCCATTTGATAACACTGGCCCCTTGCGGTGCCTCCTTGGAGCCTTGTCTCGAGCCCTCCAGTGTCTTTGACGGTTTCTCCTCTTTTTCCCGGTGCATCTGATCTGAACATCCGACTAGGCGATTTAAGTGTCTCCAGTTTTCGAGTTTGACGTCTAGTTGTGTTGCTCTATTGGGATTCTTGCTGCGGTGAGTGACTCTGTTGTCAGTTTGGGTGGTCGTGTGATTCCTTTGCTAGGTTTAGGGTAGGTATTACTTTATTTGTGACTCCAGTGTCTTTGACGGTGTGTGTTGTTCTTTATCCTTTTTTTTTTTTTTTTTTTTTTTTTTTTTTTTTTTTTTTTGTTGCAATTCGTTATGTTTATCCGGTCTCCATGGAGTTTTAGTACTATGAAGCGTGTTTTGACGTTGGTTTTGTCTCCTCGATGGAGTAGTACCCTCAACACCTGTATTGTACCAAGGGGGTAGGTCCAGTTTTTTAGTTTTTTTGTGTCAATTGAAACACAGTTTGTACTCTATTGAGTTTTCTAGCTATTAGTATAATTTCCGTTTCGACCAAAAAAAAAAATAAAAAAAAAATGACCTAGATGTGGCCTATATAAACCGAGAGGCCTAAACAACTGGTATCTTACAATGGAGAAAAAGTTAAATCAAGTTCCCTATTTTTGTCCTGCATAATAGTAAAGGGATAACATAACTACACAAGGAAGCAAAATGACAGACCATAGGTGGTTCAATTATAGTTAACCCACACAATTTTAGTGTTTCACGTACATGCCAGTTTTTCAAATACTCTCGGGCACTCTAGCCATGACCTTTCACCAGTGCTTTTATGAAAGCTATTTGACCAGTGCCCTCAAAGGACAGTGCAAAAAGAGACAACAGAGTTTCTCTTGCGTGAAAAATCTAATAGTCAAGAAATAATTTTGGGTACTTGTTGATATAACCAACACATAAGATAATTGGCGAATAAAAATGCTACATGTACATAATAAATGTACATAAAGATGTACATAACACTCACATGAAGTGGGGTCCACTTGATTTTTTAATTTTAGTGGGTCCCACTCAATGTAAGTGTTATGTACACCTCTATGTACAACATTATGTACCTATAGCATTACTCATTGGCGAATATCTTATGAGAAACTAATAAGTAATATCTAATTGTCTTATATTATTTCAGCCGTCCGTGTATAGGTTTAACTAGGTGATGTTGGCTTAGCTTGTCTGTTGAATAGTTGCAAACTAGTTAATTGTGATCGTATGTATTCTCTTTGTAAGAAAAAATTAGTTTTATATTGATTTAACGATTCTATTTTTCGTAAATAGAAGACTTAGGAAATTCTCAAAATCTTTTTAAGGTGAATGAGAAATTAATTCGAAGTGGTATATGTTAATTAATTGAGTTTAAATAACTCAAAGGTTGTAAGGTCCACAAACATTCTGTTTTGGACAAACTAAACGAGCCATAATTATGCATTATGTATGCTAGAATTGTAGAAGGGTTCGTAGGGACAAGTAGGAAATAACAGAACTCGATGCCGAGTCCGTATGAGCTCGTACGAGCCCGCGGCGCACGGGCGCAATTGGCTGCGGAAATCAAAGGGTCACAACCATTGGTGACCATAATGTATCTTTTGACCACTAGATGCACCCGTTCTCATTCGGGCACGTCCCAAAAAGTGTCTTTAGACATTTAAACCTCTTGGAGGTGTTTCCCTACATCTATAATATCAGAAATTCTATGGTGCCACATGTGGCACGTGTTATGGTGCCACAACATGATGTGGCACATTATGATTGGTGCCACAACATGATGTGTGATAGTTGTGGCACCAATCATAATGTGCCACATCATGTTGTGGCACCATAATATGGTGCCACATGTGGCACCATAGAATTTCTGTCTATAAATACCTACTAACTTGAAATCATTCATAACTTGAAAATGAGAGAGCTCTTGCATTACTTTTCAAATATCATATAGCATATTGTGTTCTTTGATTTTTTTTCATTGAGTCTTGAGAGTTCCAAACAATGTAGTGTTCGCCGAAGGTTTGTATATTTGAAGTACCACTATATACAAGTCGAAAGTCGTTGTATCTTGGAGGCGTTTGCCTTTAACCGTGGGTATTTTACGGGGCAATTTCGTCTTAAGGAGAACGTAATTATTACGTGTCTCGACTTTGATTTTGGGTAAATTGCACCAAACCCCCCTGTGTTTAACGAAATGTGCGCATTTCCCCACCGTGTTTTAAAAACTGCACCATACTCCCTTGTGTTTAAGTAACCGATGCACGATTCCCCCATTCCGTCCAAGTTAACCGCGCGTGTATGACACATTCTCCATATGCGAGATTTGTTCAGTTTTTTTATTTTCACAATTAGTAATTTACCATTATACCCTACAGAATTTTATTGCAAAAGCCAAAATAAATGAAGTGTAGGTGGTGGGACTCGAACCCAAGTTGGAAAGGAAGAGCATGCACACAACCACCTAGGCTACAAGAATGTTGTGTAAATTATTGAACACATATATAATATATACGAAAATGAATAAAATGAATAAAATGAATAAAATGAATAAAATGAATAAAAATAAAGTAATAAAATAAATAAAAATCTAATAGGTAATAAAAATAAATTAAATAATTATTAATAGTAATAACAACTTGAAATAAATCTTATTAACATAAAAATAATGAAACCGTTAAATTAAAATAAAGTAAGATAAAATTTAATATAGTAGAATGAATTAAAATTAAATAAACTTATAATTTTTAATTACTAAATTTAATTATATAAATTTTCAAATAAAAATAATGATAATAAAATTAAATAAAAATAAATAAAATAAAAATAATAATAGTATAAGATAATAAAGTATAAAAATTGTAAAATATAATAAATAATAAATAAAATAACTTATTATTATATAATAAATTAAAGTAAAAAAAAATATTAGATTCATATAATAAAATAAAAAAAAAAAACATAATTTATCAAATACGTGTAATATGATTAACTCTTACATATATTGTCATTGAGAAAAATTGAAATAAATTATAAATTTTTAGTAAATGATTTTAGATTTTAATAAATAATTTTGATTTCTAATTTTATTAGTAATTTTTT